CAGGGTGGGAGAGCTGCAGGAAGGCCTCAGTGCTCTCTCTCACACTGGGGCCCTGAGGTCTCCCGGCTCTGCCTGCTGCCTCTGTGGAGATGTTATGTAAGGAGTCTGCCCACCTGCCTCCCACTCTGTGACTCGTCCCCCCTCAGTACAGCAACAGCTGAGTGTGCTGTCATCACTGCTGCCCACTCATGGCCCCTGGGGGGGGGCAGGAGAGAGGAGAGAGGGATGGAGGAGGAGAGAGGGATGGACGAGGTAGAAGAGAGAGAGAGAGGAGAGGAAGGGAGGTAACAGGCTGTAACACAGACGGGTCATCAACCAAAACAGCAGCGAGGAGGAGGAGGAGGGTTTGTACTGCTCCTGTTGGAAGTGAGTCAGTCCTGCTCCTGCTGATCCGACTGCCTGGGATTCAGCCAGATCCTGCTTCTGATGTCAGAGCGCCTGTGACCTGACCAGCAGCACTGCTGCTCTGGACCGACACCAGGGCTCGAACTGGTGTCCAGAGGAGTGAGCTCCGCGTGCTGGACGCTCGCTCGCTCGCTCTCCCAGGGGGCCGCTGTGTGGAGGAGGCCTGGCGCCGGGTTCCAGTGTCTTTCCGGCTCGGGGTTGTTTGTGCAGGCGGGACCAGCTCCTGGGTCAATAAGACTGAGCAAACAGTGACGCGGCGCTGCTCTCCCGCGCGCCAGTCCCAGCTCGGCGGGCCCGGGCGCTGTCCCACGCGGCTCGGCTCCTGGGGCCAGGCGTGACAGCGGGGGGGGTGATGGAGACGCGCCCCTCCCCCTCACTCCCTGCCTCCCGTGTGCGCCCCCTGGCGGAGGAGGGAGACCCAGCTGGGCCCTCCGTGTCCTGAAGTCTCTCCCGGCAAGCAGCGGGCGCAAGGCGGGGTACACCTGGGAGGGGACCCCTCCACTCGCATCAGGGCCTGTTTTCACCCACCGGCCCAGTCTTTGCCCAGGAAACCCGCACAGACCCGGGCAGAACATGCAAACTCCACACAGACAGCCCAACGCTGAGAGGCGGTGGTGCTGAACTCTGCTCCACCCTGCACCCTCTTCTTTATTAACGTTATTATACATTGTTAACATTATTCAGAATTCCTGTGGTTATTGAACCCAAAGCCGCCTTCTCCCAGCTGGGCAGGCTACTGGAATCACCTGCCGGGAGCTCCTCGGGGCTCAGAGGTCCCACAGCCCTGCCCCTGCTGGGATTTGAACCCGCAACATCCCAATTATAGCAGTGCACCGCCTCCTGAAGGAGTGAAGCACCTCCGGATTTGGGGGTGACAGCTGTGCCACACCTGGGGTTGGAACCTGCCGCCCCCCAGAGCCCCAGGCTGCTGCTAGACGCTCCTCACGGTGTTCAGTGAGACCCTGGATGGCGAGCGGGACCCAGGAGTTAAATTCTCTCGCCGGGTTCAGGGTTAATGGCTCTTCTGCTCACGCTGGTTGGAAAGCTTTGTTACACGTGTGGGCCGTGATCTTTGGGGCCCAGAAACCCCACGAGGAAGGGGCCCCCAGAGCCCCACTCTTCAGGGGTGGGTAACTGGGTTACGGCAGGATCAGGCTGCTGCTGGAGGGGGTGTTAATGGGGCCAGTAGGGGGCGCTCACCCTGCAGTCTGTGTGGGTCCTAATGCTCCACTGAACTGTCAAAAGGGCACCATCCTTCGGATACGAGAGGAGAGAGGTCCTGACTCTCTGTGGTCATTTAAAATCCTCGAGAAGAGTAGGGGTGTTACCCTGATGTCCTGGCCAAATTTCCCCCTGGTCTTTACCCTTCATGGCCTCCTAATCCCCTGAATAATCCTCATCATGTGTGAACTGGCCTCATCGCTCTGTGTAAGGATGACAGTCCTGATTATATGAATAAGAATAAATGATCACCCTGACTGCGTGGCTCATGGGCTCCAGAGCCTCTGCTCGTGCTGCCCTGAGAGACCGAGAGGGCCTCTGGGCAGCTCGGCTGAGCGCTGTGCCTCTCTGCAGACGCCCGGCTGTGAGGACAGCGCGGACTGTCGCTGGTCCGCCGTCTCCTGGGACGCCCTGGCGCTGCCCGACCCAGAAGCGGTGTCCGCCGACCCGCCTGGCGCCGCGCGGCCCACCTGCGACTCCAGGCCCAGCTCAGGTACGGAGCCGCCGAGGCGAGGGGGGGCGGGGGAGGAGGGGGTGACCCCAGCAGATCCTGAGTGACCTCTTGCACCTCTCCGTCCCCCTCTCTGCCCCCCCCAGGGTTCTACTCGGTCAGTGGCAGCTCCCTGTCGGCCTCCTGCGGCTCCGTCTGCAGCGAGGGGCCCGGGGGGCCCTGGGCTCGTCGCCCGCACTCCGCCGACCACAGCGCCGCCCAGTGGCCGGGGGCCAGACTGCAGCCCGCCCCTCTCCAGCAGACGCGGCCCGAGAGGGGGGAGCGGAGGCCGGTGTCCACAGGTGAGGGGGGGGGCAGGACCCGCCGTCTCCGCGGCCCACTGGGCGTGAGCCGGCCGACAGCCGATCGCCCTGACGACTCTCCCTGTCGCTGCTCTCAGGTGACCTGGAAATACTCCGCGGCTTCCTGTCGCTCTCCGACCTTTGCCCCGGGCTGGGGGGCAGGTCCCCAGGGTCGCCCTCCACTTCCTCGCACCGCCCTCCAGCGTCCTTCTGCTGGGACCCCCGATTCCCGCTGGACCCCAAGTTCTGCTCGGACCTGGTGTCGCGGAAGACCAAGGAGGTGTACCCCTACCCCAGCCCCCTCCACGCGGTGGCGCTGCAGAGCCCCCTGTACGCGCCCTGCGGCGCCTCGAACCCCGAGCCGGATGAGGGTGGCGGGGGGGAGGAGGTGCCCAGGTGTCCCTGCGGCCCCAGCCCTCCGGACCCTCCTGGCCCGGCCCGGGCAGATCGCTACATCGGCCAGCTGCTCCGGCGGTACCGGCGCCGGCCCGGCTCGGTGCTGCTCTCCGCCCTGGACCCCGGCCCCGCGGGCCGCTGGCAAGCGAAGAGCCTGTCGCTGTCGTCCGTCTGCAGCGGCAGTACCTCCTCCACGCTGACAGGGGGCGCCCTCCCCTCCGTGCCCTCGCTGGGCTCCCTGGGCAGCTCCGGGAGCACGCCCCAGGCCGTGTGGGGGGGCAGGCGCTGGGTCCCCAGCCCCGCCGAGGATGAGGAGGGCCGCTCGGACAGGGGGGGCTCTCTGAGGGGGCTCGGGGGGGACGGCCTGTACCGCGGGAAGCACTACTCGCGCGTCCTGGTGCGGGCCGCCACGCTCGGCA